ATGTAAAAGAGGTAGCCAAAGAAAAGAGAGGTGAAAAGATCAAAAGAAAGGTAGCGTAAGTTCTCAGGTGAGTGGTGATTAAAGAACTGTTTTATTCTTCCTTGGCTTATAGGAAAAGCTGTTTTATTTTTCCTTGGCTTATAGGAAAAGCTACTTTGGCATGCTAAATGGGTCTGACCCACTCATCTCAGCTTTTTAACTATTCAATATTCCTAGACATTACAGATTTCTTTTTCAGTAATTCAACAGAAGTGTGGCTGGTTTTTTTATGACAGTTGCAAGGTAACCAAATAAAATGAAACCAAGAAAAAACGGTAAGAGTAAACTACTTTCTCCGAGAGAACTTTTATGTTATGTGGACAGATGTGGACAGACAAAATGATGGCAGAGTTGACATTCTGATTCCAAAGAGAAGTATGTTCAATAGAAAATAATTAAAACCGATCATACCTAGCTATGGCAAAAAGAATCCTGGGAATCATTTAATTTATTTTATGTACGCAACATGGAATGATTAAATCAAGCTAATTAACATATCTATCATTTTATTTCAATCAATAAATAGTATATGGGTGAGCAATCAAGGGACATCTTGGTCAGATACCTTAAAACATTGTTTTAATCAATGTGTTATTTATTAGGGTTTCCCAAGGCACCAGTTTGAATATGAAAAGAATAATCACCATGGTTGTTTCACAGATCACTAATTTGAACACAATACTCCAACCCTGCCTAGAGTCTGAAACACACAGAATATCTTCTAGTAACAGTTTATCTTATTCTCCACAGTGCTCCTATATACCTAAGTGTGGAAAAAATTTTGAAGAATCCATGTCCCTGGTGAATGTTGTCATGGAAAACTTCAGGAAGTATCAACACTTTTCCTGCTATTCTGACCCAGAAGGAAACCAGAAGAGCGTTATCCTAACCAAACTCTACAGTTCCAACGTGCTGTTCCATTCACTCTTCTGGCCAACCTGTATGATGGCTGGAGGTGTGGCAATTGTTGCCATGGTGAAACTCACACAGTACCTCTCCCTACTCTGTGAGAGGATCCAACGGATCAATAGATAAATGCAAAAGTGGATAAAATAATTTCTGTTAAAGCTCAAATACTGTTTTCTTCCATTCTTCACCAAAGAACCTTAAGTTTGTAATGTGCAGTCTGTTATGAGTTCCCTAATATATTCTTATATGTAGAGCAATAATGCAAAAGCTGTTCTATATGCAAACATAATGTCTTTATTATTCAAGAGAATAAATAACTGTTTTGTGTTGGTTGGTGGTTTTCATAATCTCATTTCTGTACTGGAACTAGTACTTTCTTCTCTCATTCTGCCAAAATAGGGCTCAGTTATTCATTTGCCAAGCTTTGTGGAGGAATGTAGGTGACATCAATGTGAAAAAGTCTGTGTTCTGAGTTGTCAGATCTCTTGAAGACAATATTTTTCATCACTCATTGTTTACTAAAGCTACAGCCAAAAATATTTTTCTTTTCTTATTCTAAACTGAGCCCTATAGCAAGAGAAAGGACCAGACTTCCTAATTAAAGGAAGTTAGGTACTTTCCTTGTATTTTTTACCATATCACTGTAAAGAAGAGGGGAAACCCAGCCAGCTACTTTTTTTTGTCACTTTTTATTCATAACTTCAGATTTTTAAAACTAATTTCCAAAATACAAGCTGTTTTCATTAGCCAATTCTATAATATCTTCCTGTGATTTATGTAGAAAATGAACAGACCCCTTTTCCATTTAAGACCCTTCTACTGTGTGAAGAGATGATACCTACAAGGAGTATCATTACCTGTGAGTTGACTGAATGTTGGTAGGTGCTCCATTACAATCCAGAAAAGCCTGTGTTACTGATACTTGTGTGGAAATCTTTATTTCATTTCAATTTACCTGTTCGATGGTAAAATTAAGATGCTACTTGCTGGTAAAAATTGGTGGACTGGTTTCAATGGGTAAATCTGTTGTAGCAAATTAATGTGTTGGAATATTGCTCTTTGGGAATTTGTGTTTAAGTTAATGAATGTGTAGTATCTCCTTCTGACAAGTGTTCCCTATTGGAATTTTAAAGCTATGTGCACAGAATACTAGTCTCTTCTACATGTTTTATTTTTCTATTTACAACTCCCTTTTTTGTTGTTATATTTTATACACAGAATAGATCTTTTTTCTAACACATATTTGAACTGAATAACAGACTTAAAGAAAGCCTTTGTTCACATTACTATTTACTTATTGTGTTTGGGGGAAAATATGAGGGATTGATTTTAAATAAAAAGCATTCCATCTTTCATTTAATATCAGTATCAAAAGAAGAAGACAAACATCTATCTTTCTCATCTATATTTAAGTACCTTTTTGTAATGTAGTATCAAAGTATTTTAGGTATTGCAAAATTTTACAAATCATTTGTGGAATGAATGGTAAAACTAATCTGATGAAGTGGAAAATTATTCTGCAATATTGTAATTCATAGTTTGACTTTTCATAAGCAAATAAATCCTTAGGATGTAATCAGGACTTCAAATGTGTAATTAAAATTTCTTTTAAAAA